AAGAAAGGTGTCACATAAATAAACTTCAATCAAGTTGTTCCCAAGTTTGGCCTAAACTTTATATACTAAAAAAGCACAATTCATATGAAGAATTGGAACACACAAGGATGAAGTAACATTTAACACATAAGCGTCCCTTTCATCTTAACACTACCCTCTCCAATAAATGTATTATCATCTTCACAAAAGAGATTTCCATCTTTGGAAAGTGTGTCATCACACCATAGTGGATTCTCAAACAATTAATAGCTGCTGAGAGTAGCTACACTTCCAACATTATAAGGCATTTCACTATGCACACTCTCAAGAGTCATGTCATCATCAAACAAGAGATTATCCTTTAACAAACATTCTACCTCAAGATTCACATGAGAAAAACAAGAAATGGTGCTATGGTCTAAGGATTCATTCAAATCATTAATGCCAACACTAGGTGGACACAAATTGATCTTTCTAGAAGAATCAACTTGGACATCAATATGATCAACTAGTGTAGCATCACTTTCATCGCAGGACAATGTACCCTCATTCAAGCTACAAGTGCCAACACTAGGTGGACACAAATTGACCTTACTAGAAGAGTCAATTCGGTCATCAAAAGGACCAAGTGCTTGATCACTCACAACAAGGATACTATCATCACACAGGAAAGTGCTATCAAGAACATCACAAGGTAAAGACTCACTATGCTCACATAAAGACAAGCTATTATTTACACTCAATGGGCTACTAGCCACACAATGATGTTCCAAGTTCAAGAAAGTGTAGGCGTTAGCATTGTTACCTTGTAGCTCATAGGAAAAAGTGTCGTCACCATGGCTATCAACATTAGAGCACATTTTCTCATTTTGGAAGCTTTCAAGAACCTCATGATTCTTCACATTTTGAGGTGCCTCACTAGGCTTGCTTCCAAGGATACCTGCACAAGTTTTCAAACAACTAGAGAAAGTAAAGTTACATGAGTTAGGAGAGACAACCTTCTCACAACACTCCACCCAACCTCTCCTTTTTCCACTCTAGAGTTGTCACTTTTCACATCCTTACTCCTCTCAATCTTTTGTCTCTCAATTTGATGGGAGTTAGGACAAGTGCCAAGGATTCCTTTTGAAGGGTTAGAAGATCCCTTCAAGTTCAACTTCCATTTTGGTGCATAAGGAGTGGGTGTTTTGACTTCCATGTGCAACTCCTTAGTGCCAACCTTACAAGGAGTATCTTGTTTTTCTTCCAAGGGTAACTCCTTAGGCGTATCTTCATGATGAATAACTTGCCTCTTTTATACCATAGACGTAACCTTTTCAAACATCCGCAAGAAATCATCAAAATCTTGCCTCACCATTGTAAAAGATTCTCTTAACTCTACTATTTCATGGCTTAGTGTTCCTCCCCCTCTACCTTGAACCTCATCACCATACAGAGAACAAAAAACATTGGAACTAGGATGAGAAGAATAAGTTAGCATATTTTGAGAAGTAGTGAATGTACTTCTTCTATGGTCCACACAGCGACTTTGAAATGGTCCCACCCAAACATCTATGCCTTCTTTCTTAGGATAGGAAGTAGCACAAGGCGAGGTAGTAAATTCAACCTCACAACCTCTATTTCTATCTATATTCTGCTCAAAGGATTCATAAGACCTATGAGAGAAAGAATTGTACCTCACATCACCATCATAACCATGGTGCGTAGCATGAGAACCTTCATCTCCACAATGATATACACCATAAGGTTCTTCCATCCCTTCAACATCATCACAAGAGTGATAAGATCCATTCATCTCAAAATCATCTCCGGAGTAGTAGTTCTCACCACCGTGTTGTTCATTATCCGATGGACCATCATATCCCTCATAAGAATCACCATCATAAACAAGAGCCCCATTACCATGCTCGTAAGGACCATCATAGCCCTCCCAAAATTCATTTTCACCATGCTCATAGCTCATATTGCTACAAGCGTACTCACCAATATCATCTCCACATTATTCGAAAGTTACGGATGACATTCTTCCTTGTAATCACCTTGGGTACCTACAAAACATAGCAAACAAGGTTAGTGGCAAAATTCCTCACACCTCTCTTATTTGATCTCACACTCACCTTCCTAAAGTGTCTTCCCAAAGTTGATAGAGAACTACCTTTGCCCAATCAAATCACAAGATCATTAATTCTTTGTGGTGGAGTGGATTCTTGTGACTCTTGAAAGAAGGATATCCCAAAAATCTAAAGGACTGGAATCAAGAAGGTTATCAACGAATCAAGATGACAAAAGTAGAAGAAAGAAGTATCAAAAAATATTCGGACTCAAAATAAACCAAGTAACAAAAGTAGAAGAATTACTTGTTGTTATTTAATTTGAAGGATCAAAGAAAAGATTTGATGATTAAAAACTAGTTAAAAGTAATTAAAGATGTTAATTAATTGTTAAATAGTTGAAAAATAGAAGAAAAAAAGTGTGGAAGAAGAAGAAGTGAATTTGGACACTTAGAAAAACTTTTATGCCTTAAAAAGTTCTTCACTTGTAAGGCTTTGATTGGATAATTTAATGATTAAAAATAGTTAACAAGTAATTAAAGATGTTAATTAGTTGTTAAATAGTTGAGGAATTGATGGAAAAAAGTATAGAAAAAGAATCAAGAAGTTTGGACACTTAGAAAAAACATTTGGTCCAAAAAACTCCCCATACTTGCACATTTTCCTCTCTGAATCTGAGTCACACGCGCCACGTGGCATGTTTGGGATGGCCTGGCAGTGAGCTGCTGTTGTGGCACTGAGTTGGTGCTGAAGTGGCTGCTGTGTTGGCAGTTGATTGCTTACGTGGCAGTCCACGTGGATTTCTTTTTTCGAATTTCCTTTTTTTTTTTCAAAATTCCACTAATGGACCCCAAAAAAACACCTTTGACCAACTTTGACTTGAAAAGTTGGATCAAATGTACTTTCTTCTTTCTTCTTCTTCAAGAACAACTTGAAGATACCAAGAACACATAGACCACCAAGAACACACACTAAACCCCAATACACTCAAATAACCTCGAAATTGGCTCAAAATTTAGGATTTTCTTCCCTTCAACTAAGAGAACAAAGCCCACTAATTATTAACCTCCAATTTCGCCTCAATCAAAAGACCCACTTTCAAAATTTGAAAAGTTTGAAACCCTTTAATGGTAACTTAACTTCTACACCTCCAAATTGAACAAAAATTGAAACCTAGACTCAAAAAAAAACACTAGGGAACAAGGATCTAGTGTCAAAAATAACAAATCAAAATTTAAAAAAATTCAGATTTTTTTCTTTTGACAATTCTTTTTGGACTCTTTTTTTTTTTAAACCAAGACTAGATTTGTAAGAACAAATCTAAACCTAGGCTCTTGATACCAAATGATAAGGGTTCCAATTAGGGATGAAACCAATTGAAATCAAATGGGGAAAGAAACAACACAAAAAGTAAGATAGATGAGAAATAAGAGATAAGAAGAGAAGAAAGAAAGGCAATTGAATAAACAATCAACCAAGGAAGAAGAGAAACTTATATTCGAAAAGAAACAACTCACATTGAAAACCATAAATGAGCAATCTCAAGTGAAATCAATGTTAAAGAAGTTCTAAAACAACAATGAGAATCCACCCATCACTAATCTAGATTAAGCTACACTAAGCCAGACTATCCTAAAGGGATTCCACCCTTAAACTACACTCTTGAAAGAGTTTGTTCATTTCACATTCAAAATCCATATAGTCTCCCCCTTCCAAAATAAAAGAGACTACTATTTATACTAATAAAATAAAGAAGACACTTATTTGACAATTTTACCCTTAATGAGGTAAGAGCCTTGTTTGGTTGTCTTCTTTTGTGAATTCTTGAAATTATGAGATGACCATTTGCACAAATGGCCTCTTTCTTCTTTCTCTTCACTTAGATGGACCTTCCACACATTGTACTTCTTGATTTTGTGTCCATCAAGCTCCTCTAATGCTTTTACGCGATCCATGCTATCCATGTTGTTATCAGATAAGTTTCTTGCTTATGATCTACATGGTTTTACAAGGTCTAGATTCGAGGACTCAATCCCATCTACTTGCATATGGTGATATTCATTCTTGTGTGGGTAGCATATCTTATGTTAGTAGTGGTATCAATAGGGCAAATAAGAGTCTCCTTGACTTGATGCTTTGCAATCCTTTTCCTTTTGACCCTGGTGTCACTTTTAAGTATTCCAATTTGGGTGGGGAATACTAATGTGCTTGAACCTACTCATGAATTGGGAATAATTACTTTCTTGAAGTTCTCTAGTGCATTGGATGGGGTCTTAATTTGGATCAACACTACTTATGCCTTCGCACTTAGGTATGAGAGTATTCATGTAATACTTGACATAAGGGAGGCCTTGTGCTTGTTTGAATGTGGGACCAATGAGGGCTTACTTATGAGGTTGTTTAAGTGTATTGGTTTCTACCCCTTTGCCAATGTTTCTCACTTAACCAAGTATTTATTGCTTTGATGGGTTACAAACCCATGGTTAATATCTGTGATGCTTGGTTATATGTTAAATTTGTACATCATTGGCATGGTGATGAAATTGTTTTTGCTAGTGTTAACCCTCATGCCATGAGGATCTTGTTCTTGTTTACTTCCCCTATGGTTTTGCAAGGTATGTATTCGAGGACGAATCCTTTTCAAGAAAGGGAGAATGATGTAAAATGGATTACATCAAGCCTATCTATTCATGAACTTGAATGCTTTGATGGAGTGTTCACAAGGGTGGAGGTTGTTTGGCATGTATGGATGCCAAGATGGGAGTTCCATGCCTTGCATGGGAACATATGCACCTTGAAGGAGCTCCGAGTTGGGCAACACCATGCTTGGATGATAGCTTGGAGCATGGGAGGCCTAACAAAGTGAGGAGGAGCAAGTGAAGAATGTGCTCCATTCGGCTAGCTGAAGGACACTTCAGCGACTCGCCAAAGCCCTTTGGCTAGGGTTCCAAGGAGCTATGAAGGGGAAAGATGCTCATTAGGCCAGCTGAAGACCATTACTCCATCCCTCCATATAGAATGGCCCCAGCAGAATTACGGGAGTTGAAGGAGCAATTAAAAGACCTACTAGAAAAAGGATTCTTAAGGCCTAGTATGTCCCTATGGGGAGCACCAGTTTTGTTTGTACGTAAGAAAGATAGCTCGTTAAGAATGTGTATTGACTACCGGCAGTTGAATAAGGTAACGATTAAGAACAAATATCCCCTCGTGAGAATTGATGATTTGTTTGATCAGTTACAAGGTGCTAAGTGTTTTTCAAAGATCGACTTGAGGTTGGGTTATCACCAAGTAAGGGTGAAAGATAAGGATATTCCCAAGACAGCTTTCGGACACGGTATGGTCATTTTGAGTTAGTCATGTCATTCGGGCTAACAAATGCACCAACAACTTTTATGGATTTGATGAATAGGGTGTTCAAGCCATTTTCTAGATGTGTTCGTGATAGTATTCATAGATGACATTTTGGTGTATTTAAGATCGGAAGATGACCATGCTAATCACTTGCGACAGATTTTACTAATTCTTTATGATCGTAAGTTGTATGCAAAGTTCTCTAAATGTGAGTTCTGGCTGAAATCTATGGCATTCTTAGGTCATATTGTATCCGATGAAGGAATAAGTGTTGATAACCAGAAGATAGAGGCCGTGAAAAACTGGCCAAGATCTACAACGCCTACGGAGATCCGTATTGTTCTTGGATTGGTAGGTTATTACAGAAGGTTCGTTGAAGGATTCTCTTCCATTGCTTCACCCTTAAAAAAGCTAACATACAAAGAAACCAAGTTTCAATGGAGTGATGCATGTGAAAGAAGCTTTCAAGGGGTTATTGTGCAAAATGTGGCAGAATCCTCATTAGTAGTGGAAGTGAAAGAGAAGCAGTACACTGATCTTATTCTAATAAAGCTTAAGGAGAATGTACAACAGGGTATGACAAAGGCATTTGAGCTTACGCAAGAGGGAGTACTTCAATGTCAAAACAGATTGTGTATACCTATTGTAGATGAATTAAGAAACATGATTATGACGGAAGCACATCATTCGAGATATGAGGGAGGTAAAACCTTTAATCCTAAATCTTCTAAACCTTCAACTTCTATTCAATGTCACAAATGTCATGGAAGGGGGCATATGATGCATGAATGTCCAAGTAGAAGAAACATCCTACTTAGAGAGAATGGAGAATATGAGAGTGAAAAAAGTGAGGGGGAAGAAGAAGAGGGAGAAGGTGTAAGTGAGGAAGATGATTTGGAACTGCCTAATGATGGTATAATTGGGGTGGTTAGGAGAATTATGACTATCAATTTGGGTAGTGTTGATGAAGGGCAGAGAGAGAATTTGTTTCATACTAGGTGTGGGATAAAAGGAAAGACTTATTCTATGATTATTGATGGGGGAAGTTGTGCAAATGTGGTGAGTTCATACTTGGTGGATAAACTAGGAATTGCATGCATGAAGCGCTCTACCCCATATAGGCTCCAATGGTTGAATGATTGTGGAGAAGTAAAAGTAAACAAACAATGCATGATTTCATTCAATGTTGGTAGGTATGAAGATGAGATTCTTTGTGATGTAGTTCCAATGCAAGCATGTCATGTTTTACTTGGCCGACCTTGGCAGTATGATAGGGATACTACTCATCATGGGAGAAAGAATAGGTATAGTCTTCTGCATAATGGTAAGAAGTATACTCTTGCACCATTATCTCCTTCTCAAGTGTTTGAAGATCAAAAACGATTGAGGGAAACAATGGGAAAACAAAAGGGAGAGGTAAAAAGTGAGCTTGAGGGAAAAGAAAATGGCCAAGAGATAGAAAAAAAGAGAGATGGCCGAGATAAAGAGAGAGAGGGCAGCGATCTAAGTAAAGAGGTAAAAGACGGTGTGAGTAAAAAAATAAAATGTTTTGGTGAGAGGAAAGAGGCTAAGGAAAAGAAAAATGAGAGCCTTTATATAAAAGCCAAAGAGTGTTTGAATGCTAGGAGAGAGGGACTGCCCATAATACTACTTACTTACAAAGAAGTATTGATTAATTTTGAACAACTAACTCCTTTGCCAAATAGTGTTTCTTCTCTTTTGCAGAATTTTGAAGATGTTTTTCCTGATGACACTCCAAAGGGATTGCCACCTTTGAGAGGGATTGAGCACCAAATAGACTTTGTGCCTGGGTCTCAACTTCCTAATAGGCCTGCCTATAGGAGCAATCCTGAAGAGACCAAAGAATTACAACGGCAAGTTGAAGAATTGCTTGTAAAGGGATTTGTTCGAGAGAGTATGAGCCCATGCTCTGTTCCAGTCCTATTGGTCCCCAAAAAGGATGGAACATGGAGGATGTGTGTAGATTGTCGAGCCATCAACAAGATAACGGTAAAGTATCGCCATCCTATCCCTCGTCTTGATGACAGGTTGGACCAACTGTATGGTTCCAAAATCTTTTCTAAAATTGATCTAAAGAGTGGTTACCATCAGATTCGTATGAATCCTGGAGATGAATGGAAAACTGCTTTTAAGACCAAATATGGACTTTATGAGTGGTTAGTTATGCCCTTTGGCTTGACTAATGCACCAAGCACTTTTATGAGACTAATGAATCATGTTTTTAAAGATTTCCATGGAAAATTTATTGTGGTGTATTTTGATGACATCTTGATCTTTTCTCAAAATCTGGATGAACACCTAGAGCACTTAAAACAAGTTTTTGAAGTTCTTAGAAATCAGCGCTTATTTGCTAATCTCAAAAAGTGTACTTTCTGTGTGGATCGTGTGGTTTTCTTAGGTTTTGTGGTCAGTTCTAAGGGAGTTGAAGTAGATGATGAGAAAATCAAGGCAATAAAAGAATGGCCTAAACCTAATAGTGTAACTGAAGTTAGGAGTTTTCATGGACTTGCTAGTTTTTATAGGAGGTTTGTGCGAGACTTTAGCACCATTGCTGCTCCTTTAACTGAAGTTATTAAAAAAGATAAGGTTTTTACATGGGGAAAGGAACAAGATGATGCATTTAACTTGCTGAAGGATAAATTGTGTTCTGCGCCTCTTTTGCAATTGCCTGATTTTTCTAAGTCTTTTGAAGTTGAGTGTGATGCCTCTGGTAAGGGCATAGGTGCAGTTTTGATGCAAGACTCCAAGCCAATTGCCTACTTTAGTGAAAAGCTAAGTGGAGCAACATTGAACTACTCAACTTATGATAAGGAGCTATATGCCTTGGTGAGGGCGTTAGCTACATGGCAGCACTACTTGTGGCCTCGAGAATTTGTGGTCAAGACTGATCATGAGTCATTAAAATACTTGAAGAGCCAAGGTAAACTTAGTCGTAGGCATGCTAAATGGGTAGAGTTTATTGAAACTTTTCCTTATGTAATTGCTTACAAACAAGGAAAGGAGAATGTGGTTGCTGATGCATTCTCAAGAAGGTATGTTTTGATCTCTACTCTTACTTCAAAGTTATTGGGTTTTGACCAAATCAAGTTCCTCTATGCTAATGATTCTGATTTTGGTGAGATTTTTGCTGAATGTAAGTTAGGTCCTTTTGAGAAATTTAATCTTCAAGATGAATTTCTATTCAAGGAAAATAAATTATGTGTTCCTAACTGCTCGTTGCGTGAACTATTTGTTAGGGAAGCACATTGTGGAGGGCTAATGGGACATTTTGGTGTACCCAAAACACTGGAAATACTTTCTGAACATTTTTATTGGCCTAGCATGAGAAAGGATGTTGAAAAAGTGTGTTCTTATTGTCTTGAATGTAAACAGGCTAAGTCTAGAACATTGCCGCATGGTCTTTATACTCCTTTACCTGTTTCTAATTCCCCTTGGATTGATATTTCTATGGATTTCATATTGGGGCTGCCAAGGACTAAGTATGGTAAGGATAGTATATTTGTGGTAGTAGATAGATTTTCTAAAATGGCTCGTTTTATCCCATGTAAAAAGACTAATGATGCATCTCATGTGGCTGACTTGTTTGTAAAGGAAGTGGTTAAATTGCATGGAATACCTAGAACTATTGTTAGTGATAGGGATGCCAAGTTCTTAAGTCACTTTTGGAGAATTCTTTGGGGAAAGTTGGGAACTAAATTGCTATTTTCTACATCTTGTCACCCACAAACGGACGGGCAAACGGAAGTGGTTAATAGAACTTTAGGGAACATGTTGAGGGCTATTTTGAAAGGAAAGTTGACTTCTTGGGAAGATTACTTACCTATTGTAGAATTTGCTTATAATAGGACCTTCTATTCTTCTACTGGTAAGACTCCTTTTGAAGTTGTATATGGATTCAACCCCCTTACCCCCCTTGATTTATTGCCTTTGCCTACTAATGATTTTGCTAATCTTGATGGTAAGAAGAAGGCTGATATGATGAAGAAAATTCATGAACAAACAAGGCTTGCAATTGAAAAGAAGAACAAGGAAGTTGCATTGCCAAGGAATAAGGGCAGAAAATATGTTGTTTTTAAACCTGGTGACTTGGTTTGGGTGCATATGCGAAAGGAAAGACCAAACTAGATCCTAGAGGAAGTGGGCCATACAAAGTCCTTGAAAGGATTGGAGACAATGCTTATAAACTTGATCTTCCTGGTGAGTTCCAAGTTAGTGCTACTTTTAATGTTTCTGATCTTTCCCATTTTGATGCAGATTTGAATTCGAGGACGAATTCTCTTCAAGAAAAGGGGAATGATAGCATCCAAGGAAGCTCTACTCCATTGAAGGACAAGGATGACGCTTTAGAAACTCCAAGGAGGCCCATAACAAGATCTCAAACCAAGGAGTTCAATGATAAGCTCAATGGGCTTCAATCGCTGATCCAAAGGTTTCTTATTGGGGAAGAAGAGCTCAAGCCCAAGGGAGAGGAATTGTCCAAATGCTACAATTATTTGGTGGCCCAAATTCAAGCCCAAGATGAGGAATTTTAAGGTCCAATTTCGTGCAAAAAAGGTCAAGAAGAGTCCAAGAATCAGCCACAACAAGAGTTGCTTTCTGCCCAAGTTTTGAGAGAAGACTAGTCAAACTTTCCAAGATTGTCAAGATTCTTTTCCTAGTTGGGATTTACCTTATTTATTTATTTATATATAGGTTATTAATATTTTCCTTAGTCTATTTATGGTCTCCTAAGTACCATTTAATGCTTTCCTAGAAGTACTAAATTTGTTCCTAGTTAGGTTACTTTATTTCCTTTCTAGAGTAGGATTCCTTGTAATTGTTTTTTTAGGGTTTGGCTTCTTGGACGTTTTTCCCTTCTCCTATATATAGGAGTCCTTTTCATTCATTAAAGACAATTTAGATTGATATTAATAATATTTGGGAGAGTTCTTTGAACCTTTGTGACTTGTTCTTTGAGAATTTATCTTTAAACCTTTACTAGTTTCATAGTTTAAGGTATAAAGTAACTTCTTCTTGTGATATCTTTGGTTTCTTTTTGGTATTCTTTAGAAGGTGATTAGTTTCTACATACTAATTATTGTCTTTAGTTACTCATAAAGCGGTCAAGATCCGAATCTATCGTTTTGATTCGTTTTCTCAAGTAAAGGCGTTAGATTTCTTCCATAAATCTATACGTTGTTACTTGGATCTTTTCAAGGCCTTAGAACATCTAATCTTTGGAAATTCGTGGATCTTTCCTTCGAATTTCCCATATCTTTATTTAGTTTTTTTGTTTCTTTTCTTTGTGCTTCCGCATTCTAATATTTAATTCTCTATTTGTGATCTCCCTTAACCTTGCTGTTATCATTTACCTTGGCTCTTCAAGTATTTTAATGACTCATGATCAGTCTTGACCACGAATTCTCGAGGCCACAAGTAGTGCTGCCATGTAGCTAACGCCCTTACCAAGGCATATAGCTCCTTATCATAAGTTGAGTAGTTCAACGTTGCTCCACTTAGTTTTTCACTAAAGTAGGCAATTGGCTTGGAGTCTTGCATCAAAACTGAACCAATGCCCTTACCAGAGGCATCACACTCAACTTCAAAAGACTTAGAAAAATCAGGCAATTGCAAAAGAGGAGCAGAACACAATTTATCGTTCAGCAAGTTAAATGCATCCTCTTGTTCCTTTCCCCATGTAAAAACCTTATCTTTTTTAATAACTTCAGTTAAAGGATCAGCAACGGTGCTAAAGTCTCGCACAAACCTCCTATAAAAACTAGCAAGTCCATGAAAACTCCTAACTTCAGTTACACTATTAGGTTTAGGCCATTCTTTTATTGCCTTGATTTTCTCATCATCTACTTCAACTCCCTTAGAACTGACCACAAAACCTAAGAAAACCACACGATCCACACAGAAAGTATACTTTTTGAGATTAGCAAATAAGCGCTGATTTCTAAGAACTTCAAAAACTTGTTTTAAGTGCTCTAGGTGTTCATCCAGATTTTGAGAAAAGATCAAGATGTCATCAAAATACACCACAATGAATTTTCCATGGAAATCTTTAAAAACATGATTCATTAGTCTCATAAAAGTGCTTGGTGCATTAGTCAACCCAAAGGGCATAACTAACCACTCATAAAGTCCATATTTGGTCTTAAAAGCAGTTTTCCATTCATCTCCAAGATTCATACGAATCTGATGGTAACCACTCTTTAGATCAATTTTAGAAAAGATTTTCGAACCATACAGCTGGTCCAACATGTCATCAAGACGAGGGATAGGATGGCGATACTTTACCGTTATCTTGTTGATGGCTCGACAATCTACACACATCCTCCATGTTCCATCCTTTTTGGGGACCAATAGGACTGGAACAGAGCATGGGCTCATACTCTCTCGAACAAATCCCTTTTCAAGCAATTCTTCAACTTGCCTTTGTAATTCTTCGGTCTCTTCAGGATCGCTCCTATAGGCAGGCCTATTAGGAAGTTGAGACCCAGGCACAAAGTCAATTTGGTGCTCAATCCCTCTCAAAGGTGGAAATCCCTTTGGAGTGTCATCAGGAAAAACATCTTTAAAATTCTGTAAAAGAGAAGAAACACTATTTGGCAAAGAAGGAGTTAGTTGTTCAAAATTAATCAATACTTCTTTGTAAGTAAGTAGTATTATGGGCAGTCCCTCTCTCCTAGCATTCAAACACTCTTTGGCTTTTATATAAAGGCTCTCATTTTTCTTTTCCTTAGCCTCTTTCCTCTCACCAAAACATTTTATTTTTTTACTCACACCCTCTTTTACCTCTTTACTTAGATCGCTGCCCTCTCTCTCTTTCTCTCGGCCATCTCTCTTTTTTTCTATCTCTTGGCCTTTTTCTTTTCCCTCAAGCTCACTTTTTACCTCTCCCTTTTGTTTTCCCATTGTTTCCCTCAATCGTTTTTGATCTTCAAACACTTGAGAAGGAGATAATGGTGCAAGAGTATACTTCTTACCATTATGCAGAAGACTATACCTATTCTTTCTCCCATGATGAGTAGTATCCCTATCATACTGTCAAGGTCGGTCAAGTAAAACGTGACATGCTTGCATTGGAACTACATCACAAAGAATCTCATCTTCATACCTACCAACATTGAATGAAATCATGCATTGTTTGTTTACTTTTACTTCTCCACAATCATTCAACCATTGGAGCCTATATGGGGTAGAGCGCTTCATGCATGCAATTCCTAGTTTATCCACCAAGTATGAACTCACCACATTTGCACAACTTCCCCCATCAATAATCATAGAATAAGTCTTCCCTTTTATCCCACACCTAGTATGAAACAAATTCTCTCTCTGCCCTTCATCAACACTACCCAAATTGATAGTCATAATTCTCCTAACCACCCCAATTATACCATCATTAGGCAATTCCAAATCATCTTCCTCACTTACACCTTCTCCCTCCTCTTCTTCCCCCTCACTTTTTTCACTCTCATATTCTCCATTCTCTCTAAGTAGGATGTTTCTTCTACTTGGACATTCATGCATCATATGCCCCCTTCCATGACATTTGTGACATTGAATAGAACTTGAAGGTTTAGAAGATTTAGGATTAAAGGTTTTACCTCCCTCCTCAACTTTACCTTTACCTCTATCATCTTGAGGTTTGGAAGGAGCTTTCCCCTCTTGAGTTGACCATGGCTTCTTAGAGATAGTGTTTGGTCGACTTCTCCATGAGTTATTTTGCTGCTTTTTCTCAATTTGTTTTTCAACTTTTACAGAAAAATCAACTAACTCAGCTAAAGTTACATATTGTTGTATCTCTACTACATTAGCTATTTCTGTATTTAAACCATTTAAAAATCTAGCTATTGTAGCCTCTTCTTCCTCCATGCAGTTAGCTTGGATCATAGCCATATCCATGCTTTTGAAGTACTCACCCTTCGACATGGAACTTTGCTTCAAGTGTTGAAGGCGAGATTGTAGATCTCTTTGGAAGTATGATGGAATAAATCGCTTCCTCATTACCCTCTTCATCTCTGCCCACGTAGCAATAGGTGGTAGCTCCTCTTGCAATCCGTCCCTAGCAAGCTTTTTCCACCAAGAAGCAGCATAATTAGAAAACTCAACAACATCAAGTTTAACTTTCTTACGCTCAGAGTAGTTATGGCAATCAAAGATGGCCTCAACTCGTCTCTCCCAATCAAGGTACAAGTCTGGATCACTTGTCCCCTTGAAAGATGGCATCTTCATCTTTATACTATTTATATTATCATCTTCTACTCTACCTCTTTGTCCCCTCCTATCTCTTCTTTCTAGATTAAATTCAACATCAAAATCATCATTATCATATTCAGGATTTACAAAAGGGATATGGGGTACATTCCTTCTAACTTGGGGTCTAATATTATTTGGGGGTACAACATTATTCTCCTTCCTAATTGTAGCTATGGTGTCATTCTGCTCGATAATCATATCCCTCATCTCTTGAAATTGAAGGGTCCATCTCTCAAATTGTTGGTGCATAGCTTGAAGGGTGAAGTCGTTCCTTCCTTTGACCTCGGCTTCTAAACGAGCCCTTTCCTCATCACCACCTGAATTAGACATCTAAAAAAAAGAATAAATGATCAAGTATCACACTTTTAATATGGCTTTTACCCTCTTTTAAACTCACCCACACTTGCCTTTGTCCACTCAAAATAACCTTTGAACGAGAATACTTTGTAGATTTATAATTAAACCAAAACGTGTATCAAGTTCGTAGTAATAAAGTATGGAATATTGGGGTACAAAAAGAAAGTAAAGAACTAGTCCTAGAACAAGTAGGATTTAGTTGAAACAAAACACGAATAAACAGGAACTTATTTTAGAATTATAAGAACAAGAAAAAAAAATTCCTCTTATTCTTAAAGGTCTAGAATCCCCTCTTCTTGCAACCTTCTTGCTTGGAAACACATTAATGCAAAACTTGGAGAGCAAGTAATAAGATTTCTTGAATAGCAAGTAATAAACTTTCTTGGGTATCAAGTAATCAAATTTCTTGGAGGACAAGTAATCAGATTTCTTAGAGAGCAAGTTATAACTTTTTTTTTCTGTTCACGCTACTGTTCACGCTAATGTAAATTATTATTTTTTTACGACGATACTGTTCACGCTATAGTTTGTTTTTTTTTTTTCTCTAAGAAGAAATCCCAAGATTTATCAAGAACGGAATCTTGATAGAACCGCTCTGATACCACTTGATAATAACAAGGTTAAGGGAGATCACAAATAGAGAATTGAATATTAGAATGCGGAAGCACAAAGAAAAGAAACAAAAAAAACTAACTAAAGATATGGGAAATTCGAAGGAAAGATCCACGAATTTCCAAGGATTAGATGTTCTAAGGCCTTGAAAAGATCCAAGTAACAACGTATAGAT